CACAACAGTAGACCTAAAATTAAACAGTATCTGAAGAGAGATTGGAATTCATTATTCTGGGTTATAATATAAAATGTTTCTGCCATAGCATTTTTAAATATTTTTTTTAAACAATCAAAAGGAATCTTGTCACCTAAAATCTAGGATTCGATGACACCTAGAAAAATAACTAGACTCATCTTTTTGTTTCTCCTTTTCTTTCCCTGAGTCTGGTTACTTTGTGATGCATTCATTATTATTTTGTTTGTGGTAAGCAAAAGTGTAACACACTAATTAATAATAGTAGCTTTTAGCTAAATGTCCATCAATTTGTTCTAAGTTTCATTTTGAGGAAGCTGTTTCACAGTGGTTTTAAACACTTAAAGGAAAAAAATACCCGCAGGCAGACCCTCCCCGCAGCCGCTCCGCGGGAGTTAATACCTTATGCGGAGAAGGAATCCGTCCGCTTTCTTCTGCGCTGATCCCTGGGGTAAGGGCGAGCTGTGGATAAAAGCACCAGGAAGAAGCGCTGAAACACGAAGCACTTTTTTCAACCACGCGACTCAACCCTTCGTGGGGGAACACACACAGAAAACACAAACGCACCACCTGTTTCAATTTAAAAATTTATTGCAAGTTGGTCTTACAAGGCTGCCTAAGCTGGGGTACAAAACAGCCTTATGATAAATCCCACCCTGTTCCCGTTAAAAAGAGTATCGTTAAAAATGTCTCGTTACAGAAGTCCTAGGTAGTATTTCCTGATGAAGCGCACCCCGGCGAAGGTGTTGAAACGCCAGACACGCAACCGAGAGCAACGCAAGGGTCGCGAGGCTCCGCACAGCATCACACCGACTCCCAACGCCTTCGCAAGGGCCCCGGCTCTGGTGCCTCTCACGGTCGGTCGGTGAGTTGGTTGAGGACATATCAAGTTTACATGCACACATATTCTGAAAGTGCTGTACTCCAGAAGATCCAGCTCCATGACTGTTTAAAATTAGCATTTTAAAAATTTAAAATTTAAAATTTAAAAATTTTGAATTTTGAATTTCATCACCATGTCTTCACAATGAGACACTAAGGCTCCCCTAACTGAAATCTCCAAAAGTAGCAGATTTTTTGGTGGTAAAGGGGAGCAAGAAAAGTAAACCAAGAAGTTCCCGTTGTATTTTATTTCCCTCTTTAATTCAAGAGGTAGTAGAGCCAAGTCCGGTAAGTGCTCTGGGGGACACACACAACTGAGGTGGTCCTCACAAATTCTCTCTGCTTTTTTCTTGTCCGTTTTGTTCAGGGTGGGTTATACTCTTACTGTCACTATAGATTTTTTATTCCTATCCTTATAGATATATTACATTTACATATATACAGATATATACTATCATTATATATTAGGATCTAAAGAAAAATATTAAAACAGAAGACTTCTGCACTGATGTAAAAAGCTCAGCAGCTGTCATATGTAATGGAAGCACTTGCTGCTGAAACAGAGCATTGGCTTAGGAAGGAAGAGCATTTCCTGGTTAATCACTCAAAATTAGCTCATCTTTCCTACAGCCACTCTCCTGAAATCCCTGACCCATCCAGACCGGGAATCTTGTGACTTTCCTATGCTTTTGTTTCATACACAATTCCCAGTAAAGGGCCACAGTGTGACTTCAAGCAAAGACAGCGAGAGTGACAAACACCATCTATGCTGACTATACTGCAGCTTCCAGATGCAGCACTAAAAAGAATTTGCTTCCTAGTAAGAAAGTTTTGAGGAAGTTGTTAAGACTCCTTGTTTATAAATAACATAAAGTTCATACCTCTATCTAAAGAATACAAATAGCTAAGTAATTACTTATATTAAATACTCTAACCACTACATGCTTTATAAATTGACAGGCAGAAAAAGTAACAGAAGAGATGTGAAAAAAGGAACGACTAATATCCTACAAAGTTAACATGAAAGCAAGAAAACAGAGTTTTTTTCTAAAAACAGAGTTGAAGAGATCCGCAGTTCCTGCTGCGTGCAAAGCGCTGCCGCTGGAGTCCGAGAAGTTGGCAGCGCCCGCGGATTTGCATGCACTTGTCACCCCGTTCCCACTCTCTTGCATCTTTGCCTGAGAGATGCATCTCCTTCGTCTGCTTCACTCTCTGCATCTACCGCCTGCAGACTGGAATCTGGGAAGAAAAGGGAATAGTGAGTAAATACCGGCCCTTGTGTACGTTTCACTTGGCAGCAGAGGCAGCAATTGTACTTCTATCAGGTACTATAAAATATGGCCTGAAAGGCAGACTGTAACTTGAGAACTTGAGGCCTACTGTTCGAAGAAGAGGAATTCTTCTAGTTTTGCAAAACTTTAAATAGAAACCAACGACAAAACAAATTATAAGAAAAGTGCTCCCATTCTTGAAGATACATTATTCCTGTGTGCGCTCGCTACCACGGATACCAACTGCCACGTGTTAGTTACTACAAAACCCTGGCAGGATCTACAGAAACGCCCATTCTGCTTGGGACATATACCTGCATTTATCTGGAAGAGGCCCAGCTGCCTCAAAGTACGCCACGGCTAGAGCCAAGATCCTAGGAAAACTCGTGGCGTCACGGACAGCACAGACAAGAGACTCCTTTTTTGAAAATTACCTTGATCCACGGCAAATGGAGATACTTCCAATGTATGGCCAGATCTTGCAGGTATTACTTAAATGTTTGAAACAGATGGGTGTTACGAGCTGAATTATTAACTAACATCATTTTCTGAAATCTAGAAACTACCCTTTGAAGTGAGCAACAGCTCTTCAAACTCTACAATCAGCTCTTTGATGAGCAGCTGTGAGGGAAATAGCTTCTTGCAAGACTTGCAGGCTGCACCAACTTTTCCTCTAGAATGGATCCAAAGTACTCTGTGTCCTCTTATGTCTTTCTACTCTGTGGACGTTTAGGTTTTTCCTTTAGTTACTAGATTTGTGAATTGTTTGGCCTCAGTTGTCCTGCTGCTGCTTGTATTTCTCAAGCATTTCAGCATAGATATCAGCAGACTGGCACAAAATTAGTGATCTGAGACAAAAGGTTTGGACTTCTACAGCAACTTCATCAGTCTGGTGGGGTTTTGCCCTGTTACTTCAATAGTCACCTCATTACTCTGTTTCCTTTGTAGCACTGTCACCCTCCAGCAAACATATCTACTCACTTCATCTCAATATTGTGACATCCAGGTTTCTGACAACTCCCAGAACTTCAGGTTTTATTTACTGATATAATTTATACCCTTTTCCATATGAATAATTAGCATGCGCATAGCTACAGAAGCATGTTGGTAAGTATACTATGAGGTTGTACAAGTATGATATTTTAACTGAAGGCACAATGAAGTACTTGCACTGCAGACAATAACTAAACTATTCTGATCTTCCCTTTCTGTAACAGTTTCACAGTAGCTGCCTCTATAATCTCCAAAAAAATGTAGAATCTTTTCTTACCAGTGTTCATGCTGTCATCCTCAGAGTGTCTTCTCTTCCTGCTTGTAGGTTTTACAGATGAAACAGTCTCTTCTACAGAGTTGTTCATCAGCTCAGTTCCTGAAGTGAACTGTGTTTCTTCTGTCCCCAATGCACTGAATTCACATTCAACACTAGTGTTCATGCTGTCATCCGCAGAGCGTCTTCTCTTCCTGCTTGTAGGTTTTACAGATGAAAAAGTCTCTTCTACAGAGTTGTTCATCAGCTGAGTTCCTGAAGTGAACTGTGTTTCTTCTGTCCCCAATGCACTGAATTCACATTCAACACTAGTGTTCATGCTGTCATCCGCAGAGCGACTTCTCTTCCTGGTTGTAGGGTTTACAAATGAAAATGTCTCTCCTACAGAGTTGTTCATCAGCTGAGTTCCTGAAGTGAACTGTGTTTCTACTGTCTCCAATGTATTGAATTCACATGTAACACTAGTATTCTCCTTAAAAACAACAAACAAAAAGAGCAATAAAACCAAAGATCACTCAGTATTTTCTTGTAATCACTTTAGGGATAAAATAATAACTACCCGTCACCACTCCAAAAGGACATCGAACAAGTGTTGAACACTGCCTAGATGATTTACGCAACAAGTGTTTTTAACTCCGAATGAAGGTTGCTGAATTGAAACTCAAGCTCTTACAAAATATCACATTAAGCAAAACATGGCATCAGAAAGCTAGAACATAGAAAGTTAAGGTACATGTCCTCACAGTCTGAGCTTTGCCCTCAGTGATCAAACTAGCTACAAGAAATCAGCTAGCAGAAATCCAGGTGCGCTCGTTGTTACCAACACATGCATTAGTCACGACAGATTCAGCTCAAACAACTTGACAGAGCTGAGTGATGCAAAACTACACATGTGAGCCACACATTTCTGGTTGGAAATCTCACCCCACCCAATTGTTAAGACTTTAAATTCTAACGTGTTGCTTGCTTTTTGGAGCCCTCTGCTGCTGCTCCATACGTATTTTGCAGGCAACCATTTACTGAACTGGTGTATTTCCATGGTCATGTGGCAAAAACCTGTAGGCTAAAAAAACGCCAAACAACAAAGTTCTGTTTCTGTTCCACTGAGGAAGCAAAGGCCCAAAGTTAAGCACTTTGAGTTTACCTTTAGACAGAAAGATGTTCTCACTATCACCTGTTCTAGAATATACATCTCTTCTGCAAATATCCTATCAACCAATATCCTAAAGATGAAAGATTGTTCAGAGCCTGCAACATTTCCGTTTATCACGGAAGAAACAACTTTTGAAAACTGGTACGTGTGAGTTTACGGAAGATAAAAGGTCATCACACTTGGTCATAAGATATTAAGAATTCCAAAAATCTCACTCTCCACCTGGAGTCCGTTATTACTCAAATATGTAAAAGGCAATGTGTATACATATTAATAGAAATACATATACATTCTTTGACAAAGTTCTATAATAATATTCAAAAAGGCCTGTGTGAATACAGTAACTGAACACTCAGGGAGAGCTAGCTCTCCCCTACACACCTCCTGCACTTGCCAGCTACCCACTTCGCTGCAGTATTCGTTCTTCGAAATGCGTCGTCTGCACGTATTGCATCAGTGCTATTACCGAGGCCAGGTGAAAACCACTTGGCTAGCAGTGCCTTTTGTCTAACATCTGAGCCACAACACCTTGGCCAACACAGCCTAACACATCTCATGCTCATTCACGTGGGATACTTTTTCGTCCCCTCTTCTTTTTTACATCTTGCTTTACCAAGCAAACCTTTCACTGTCCATTAAAAGCTTAATTAAAGAAGCCTTTAGTTCTTGAGTAGTCAACAACATTAAAAAGCTATCAATCCAGACCCTGGCATTACTATCAAATAGAGTTACCTCAAAAAACATGTTTTATCTGCCTTTACCCCTTACCTGCTGGAAGAGTCCGTCCAGAAACAAGATTAGGGAGGATTCAGTTAGGCACTGATCTGGTTGTTCTAGCAGTTCTTCAGGTGCTTCCTGTGAGATCAAAGATTCTTGCACGATGTCAGCAGCAGCACCTTCTACAGACGCAGTGGTATGGGCATCATAAAGAAATTCAGACAGCTGTGATGGTAAACAATTTACTACTTGATCTGCTTCTATCATAAATGGTGCATCTGGAGATACAGAAGTAAGAGATTCCAGGTTGCTTGTGCCAGTTGAAGGAGGTAAATCAATATTCTCAGTATCAATCGGGAGTAGTTGATCTCCGGTAGACTGAGAGGCTGAACACTGAATCTCCACTGGCTCCACTGGCAACACTGCAGCTTCGGATGATGACTGCATCTCATCAACAAGCTGCAACACATCTTCAAGAGTGACTTCTGTCGTCTTGTTCTCAGCAGATGTATCAGATGACCAGTTAGAGGGCGGAAATTCAGCTGGAAAAGTTGACAGCAGTGGAGGACTCTGGAAGAAACAAAACACAGTGTACTTTTATATCAAAAAATTACAGTGACAGGATGTGTATTGGTTCTGTAAGACTTTGGAAATAAATCTGAGCAATCAACTGAAGCGTTCATTTATCCAAAAGCTTAAAAGATTGTCTGTTCTTGTCACTTAAACAGCAGGTTTAACAAAACAAAAAAACAAAACAAAAAAAAAGGCTACTACTTTTGTCTTGTTTGCATTAACCACCTTACACTTGGCACGTTTGCTTTCTCTTCACTGTCTATCCTGGAGAGAAAGGAAGGTCATTTACTTACCAGGAGCCACATACTCCTTCAGGCGCATTGTCTGCGTACCCTTTGCACTGCAGGTATAAGTATAGCCAAGCACTCAAACCAGAGACTTCTAGTCTTAGGGGGATCTGTGGGGGTACAGTAGAACCAACCCCTTCACATGCCACAGACGCGATCGAAAACGACAGAGCTAATCTACCCGCCTTCAGCTCTTCTGAAACGCAAGATGCCTGTTGCGTATGGAAACAGCACAAACCACAAGACCTTTAAGCAAGATAGAAAGGTACGTATGCTGTAAATGCACACGTGGACACAACCTGAGGAACTCACAGTTACCTACCAGTAACACCTTATTCCTCTCCAAGCGATTGTCCATATACGCATCCACACGAGGGGCGATTCCTAGGGATGCTCCAGCGCTAAAGCGATCGGGAGTTCAGACACCTATGAGAACAAATACCATAGAACCGCCCTGTCTGCCATGCCTCACATCTGGACACTCCTGTCACAACACAGTGTCCCACAAATGCACAACTCCAAGCCTACATAAATCTGTGTAAAAGCCCTATAGAACTTCAGGTCAGAAACACTTCTTGAACAGGACTGAACATGTTCTGGGTCCAAACACTATCAATATATTTCACTGAATGACATCACAAGATGACAGGACACAGTCTGCAATGCAATGTTAATTTTTCTAGTAGAATTCACATAAATCAAAGAACATTTAAAGCAGAAAGAAGACAATGAAGTTTTTCAAAAGCAGAAAGTCCTACCCAAGTGAAATAACAAATCACACTTTAACAGTGTCTGTGCTGCTCTTTCTTCTGGAGTTAAAGGACACTGGAAGGGTAATTTCTCCTGACAAATAAGAGTCATATAACAATGCTGAACAGAAACAGGTATATTTTAAATACAGTCTCACTTTGGAAGAGATCTCGTATGAAGTATTAGTTCCTAGCGCCTGATTATCCTCAGACCTTCTAGCTGAGTTAATGGTTAACAAAAAGCTACTTCCATAGATGAGTAAATTAGAGAACTGGAAGCCACAGGATCACCTGCTAGGAAAGCTAGATCAGATCAAATAACAGTGACAGATTGGGTCTCTCAGCAGCATGGACATCAGAAGCCCCTGAAGGAAATACCACAAAAAGATGAGATCCCTTCCTCGGGGTGTATGAACTCAAGTCCTGCTGTGGATTCATGCAGATGTGCCAGTCTGCAGAAAGCCATAAACTGGGGAGCGAGGGGGGGTGGGGGAGGGAGGAGGGGAAGATGAAACCTGGAATTTGAGAAATTTAGGTAAAGTTCAGCAAAGTCTTTTTATTAAAGGCAAGCCTTGGGCTGCTCACACAGAGGATTACCTTCCAGCAATCCCTGCCCAGATGCTCCAGTAGCTTTTGACTGGGAGTTCCCTGGTTAAAGTTGTATTACCAAAGCACCCACTAGTAAGTGGCCTAAATCTGTTTTGACTCCACCCACTGCCCATGGACTCGCTTCTCCAAACACCTGATTTTTACTAGACCCTCTGGGCAGTGTATTTATATTATCTTACTAGATGCTTTGGACAGTGTATTTACATTATCTTTCAATCTAGCCACAACACCACCCTTGACAGCTCCTTTGGAATGATTTGCTATGCCAAACATTGATCTCAGCCTTCTGAGATAAGAAGTTATTTGATTACAACTTCCCATCACTCAGACTGATCCTCATGTCCTTGATGAAATAGCAGCTCATGACGAAAGTGAGAGGACAAAACGCACTGTGACAAATAAATACCAGAGTATCAATGGCATGATTGGTCAGTGGCTATTTATATCCTTACACCAACATGCTATCCCAGCCATAACCTGGCCATCTTGGATAAGCTTATATATATTAAAAAAAATGAATCATGAATAAAAGACAAAGGTTGATATCTGCAAGACAGGAAACTGGATGATCAAGCTTGGGTAGGTCAACCCTTTTTTCAACATACACAAGCATAACTTGCTTTGCTTGTCTTCTCTGAGGGGAAAAAAAAAAGTATATGCATTATGCTGTAATGGAAAAGGAAGCCCTCGCATTTTTACTTTGGATCTTTTGATATTTGATAAGCCAGGCCTTCCAAATAAGGTGCAGTTTCCATCGGAATTATATAAAGCACTTACAGTAAGTACTGTAGTTATCTTTAATAAGACATCTCTGAGGTGGGGCCAATTCCAAGTGGCCTTAGTTTTTCTCATTCATCAAATGAAACTCAGAACTGCAGAAAGCTGCCTGGGACAAAAAAGTAGAGCTGTTTCCCATTATTTTCATAACATTAAAGAATCTCTTTTTGTCTAGGCAAGGACGTTCTTCAAAGATAAATGTAGACTCACTAAAACAAATTCTGGTGAAGTCAAGCAAAAAACTTACACAGAAAAAAACACTCCACTGATGAGGAGACGCACTATGCTGCTACCCTGAAACTTGACTTGAATTACAAAACTACTCGTTTAATGTTCAGTGGTTCTTTGAAATAGACATTTGTAAACCACATTACTTTCACTTTCTGAAGCAGATCAGTCTTCCAATTTCTGTGCTTCACTCCAGAAGTCCATAAACCGACAGTTCCTTCATTCAGTTTCCTCTGCTTTCACCTGGCTTTGATATACCACACTCACCTGTAAAACGGTCCAGTGGGAGTACGTCACAGCTATCGGACTAGCACGGCCAGTCAGGGGATTCAGGCGGACAGATGGTGAGCCACCCTGCTGTGTAGCTGCAAGAGGTCAAACACAGTTATCAGACTTCCAGAATTTGTGTTTGCTATGCAGAGTTCTGTCGCTTTCATTAAACATTTCAATAATCACACAGTAAACTACATTCCAGAAATGTATTATTACAAGTGATTTTAAGACTATTTTCTTCATCTTAAAAAAATATTTATTCTAGTATATGTGAACAGATATTAAAAATATATATTGTAAAATTTATATACACACACATAGAAACCTCATAATCACAGTCTTTTGTATCTTAATATCACATTTTGATTTGGCTGCTTGACTTTCTCATCACAACATACCACAGAAAGTGGATTCGCACAGGAAGAGCCTAGATGTTCATAAACACACACTGAAATTAAACAGTACTTTTATTGTAGATGAGGCAGTATTCTGCAGGTATTATTTTCTGGTGACATGCAGAGATAATTTAAAAGTAAAGGCATTATTTGCAGGTCAGATAATCTTTAAAATCTGCAATCATTCTCAGAGTGAGAGAAATCCTTGATGAAATCAAGTTTAGCCCCATGTTCATAAGTGTAATAAGTATAGTTGAGAAGGCAAAGAGATCAGATGAATTTATCTGCAATGCTAGACAGGTACAGGGGATTTCACAGGACACAGTTGCTACAACAGCCAACATTTTTTTAATATTGCCCTTGCTCACATCACGTTGCTGAGTTTTTGTGCAGTTTTGAGCAGCAAACACAGGAGCTAAACAACACAGAAAGAGCTAGCGGACATCCTTCTAAAGAAGCAACGTGCACGACTCATCTTACTTCAAAAGCTAATTCTGAGCAACTTTATGATGAAATCTGGACATCTTTCAGAAGAACATTCTATGACCTGCGAACGTATTACAATTCTGGATATTGCTTAAAATCTAAATGATATCCAGGTTTCACTCGCTGGAAACTCCAAAGTATGGTTACGAACCGGAGAAAGCCACCAAAGAAAACTTTTGAAGGGCTATTGTAAAAACAACACAAGAGAGCAATGACAAAGGAGAAATGTCTTGTAACCTGCTGGAGTGGTTCTAAGGAACAACAAACACATATTACAAAGGACCTATTTTCTAAGAAAAGAAGGAGGACCTGAAAAGAAAAAATGTTTGTGAAATAATAGGTAAGTATAAAACATTAAGTCCAGATACTATGCTATAAGAAAAAACCCTACAAGTAAAATATGAATGACAGCATTCTTACAGTTAGTAGAGCTTACAGCAAAAGCAAGCCATTAATCAAATGAATTGTTGTGTTGGTACATCAAATTGAGGAGAACAAAAATAACTGTGCAGAAGACTACACTGATGACCAGTTCTGAATGGTTCTGAAATGCAGAATGTTATACAAAAAGAACGGTTCACACTCCCAAAAGCTGCTTTTTTGCCATCTTACAGGCTATGACAGTGACTGCTCCAATAGCAAGAACAACTGCATCTGTGGAAATGCCATGGGAGACACGAACTTCTGGTACTTAACGGCAGTCAGTTAATAAGCAAATCCACTGTAAGATGGAGGCCAGTTTTAGATAAGGACCACCTATCACCATAGTCACCAACGGAGAGTCACCATACATCCAAACAACTTTTTTAAACAACACTGAAGAAAGCATCTGACGGGCAGGGTTATCAAAGGCAAAGGTGTCCATTCACTTATAATATTTCAAGTCTTCAAACTGAATCCAGATTCAAAAACATACCTGCTTCACTCACTTGCTTTTGTCCTACCCTTAACTGGAGAGAAGAAATTTCTAAGCTGTTTTTTTTAAGATAGCATTAATCTTGCCATACCCCAGAGAAATTACCAGCTAAAGCACATTCTGTCACCGGCTGGCGTGAAATAACCGACAGTGAACACGGATCTCATCTGAATGCTAAGGAGACAGGGATGAATGGCATCTTATGAAATAAATGAATATTTACTGAATAAATTAAGAACAAGATACAGCCCTTTCCATCAAACAAAGTGGATCAGCCCCGAAACAGATTTGGTTTCTGCCAAAAGAGACATACTTCTGGCCATACAAGCTATGGACGGAAAATTTCACACACTCTTTAGGACACAATATGCTGACTATGAAGAACACTGATTTATGAATATGGAATTGCTGTCAGCAGGGCTATAACCAACCCAGCAACGGTCCCCTGAGAACAAGCAGGGATCAGTGAAGTGCAGAACAAGGAAAAGACTGAACACTGCATCACAAATATTCTTGCACAGAAGTTGAATGACCATATTTCAAAATACTGACATATCTTTGGATATCCAAAGAGATTTCAAAGAAATCAATACTTTTAAAGGAAGTTATTTGCAAGTATGTTAACAAAGAATTTATAAGCAAATACAAGTTATAAATCTGACAGCTGAATAAGAAAAATTAGAAGAAATACAATGGAATAGAAAATTAGTTGATACTGGACAATATATACTGAGGGGGAGTCAAAAGACTTCTCTGCGTTTAAGTCACCCTTCATTGCCCTCTCGAAAGACCCCCAGTAGGTAAACAAATACGGATAACTGTGAGCTTGCTGATACAATATTCAGACTTCCAAAAAGCTTTTAACAAAGCAATCATCAGAAACTTACCAAAACTGAGCAACAACAGCAGGAGAGGGAAGGCTGTACTTTTAAAAAAGAATCCCTTAAAGATACAACACAGAAGATGGGAATAAATAGTCACTTTTCAGAGGTGAGTGAGGTCACCAGTGGAGGTCTCCAAGGACCTGCACTGGAACTCACTCTGTTCAGCATTTTAATAGAGTACTTTAAAAATGGAGTGACTGAGCAGTGAGGCGATGCTTGCAGATAATACCAGGTTAGTCACGTCAGAGAGGAGCAGTCAGCTAAGAAGAGGTGAAGGAACAACAACAAAAACAACACCTTACAAGTTTCCCAATGCCACCACCCACCAGACAAAGCTCTGCACTTGGGAAAAATCAACTGATTTCACACAGGAAATGATGGATTCTTAGTTGCCGATCAATAATCAGGAACTAGATCTTGGTATTACACTAGAGAGTTTCAGGAAGACATCAGTTTGATATTCAGCAGCTGTCAAAAAGACCTCCCAAGTCACAAACAAAGCAATCAGGTTTAGGAAATATTATGAAAGGGAACAGAGAATGAAACAGGAAAATTATTATTCCACTGTATAAATCCATGATTCACACCTTGACCACTGTGTATATTTTTGGACTCTACATCTCAATAAGGAAATAACAGGACTGGGAAAGGTTACAGGGAAGGCAACCTGGATGATGCACAGTGCACTTCTCTGAAGGAACAGCTAAGTGAGGCAGGACTCTCCATTCTAGAGACAACGCAGCTGAAGGAACGATGACAGAATTATTTAAATATCACGAACATCACAGCGAGGGGGATATGGATATCGACAGATTCACACAAAAAACAAATGGTCAAAAGAGACAAGAAATGGTGGCTCTTTGCACACAATGCAATTAAGCTGTGAAATGAAGTCCTTGTCACAGATGTCGTACATGCCACAAGTCTGCAGAGGCTAGGAGAAACAGACAAGTTCACGGCAGTGAAATCCACTGAGGGCTATTAAACACAACTTGGGTTATGGTTTATTGATTCTGGGAGCCCATGCTGTTGGGAGTATTTTGGCAAGACATCAGTCCATGCTTGCTCTACTCCTGCACTCCTCCTCAGCCATTACTGTCAGAGGAAATGCTGAGCTACATGGACATTTGGTCCGAGCAAGGCTAGTATTCTTATCTCCAAAGCAGAGAACTATTCACTAAGTCCTGCTTTCTCAACACTGATGATGAATTGTACCAAAATAAACAAGAGAAATTTATTTGGAGGGATGACAGTATTGACATCACATTCTTACATACCTCTCCCTCCTCATGAGACAATATAATTTGGTGGGCTCCCAAGGTTTCAATAGAGAAGTACAAATCAATCGTAATCTTTGCTGACGACACGAAGCCTACAGCTCTACCAGTAAATTAAATTTATCCAGATCCATCCTCTGGCACAGAAGCTGTTAATACTATTAAAGTCTCTTACTCTTCCAAGTCAAAACAGCCACATCCAAACAGCCTGTTGGGAATGGTCCCAAGCCCACGCCAATTGCTGAACTAAGCACAGTACTTCTGGGGTGAGAGTGCTGTAACAATCTAATGATAGAACAGATCAAGGCACCCATGAACGTTCCTGGCAAAGTTTAATACAGTAGCATAGACACGGACAGATATACTTGAGCTCAGCCACAGTTTCAAAGATGTATTTTGCCAAATATATCCGGAAGTTGGAACCTAAAGGTAAATAAAATCTAAGAACATCAAAAAAGCTCACAGCTCGATGTGTACACATTTGTACTGCATGCTTTTTATAGGTTCCGATATTACACGCAAACTCAGGAAAGCTGAAAGCCCCAAAATAAATGCAAACCCAATATGATCAGCTGCAGTTCTTTTTCAAGCTTGAACAGCCACCATGATTTCTCCAAAGATCTGCTGGAATCTGAAGGAACACAGGTATCACCTCTATGCATTCAAGATAGCACCAGACATTAGTAAGTGTTCTTATCAGCTCAGGTGGCCAAAGGGGACAAGACTGACATTCTCCAGCATCTTCCACTGCACTTCAGCAGGCGCCACATCAGAAATACCAAGGAAGAACCTTAAGACCATCCTTTCAGTGTGAACTTACGTCAGGTCTAAAAGCTGCGCCTAAAAGAAGCTAGTTATTCATTAGACGAGTGGGTCAACAGTACTCAAAGCTGTGCAGGAAATTAGGGAATGCAGCTGTGCCTGTTCTGGATCAACAAACACATTGGAATGGGCCTGGACACAAAAAAATATGCAAGCTCCGATCCTTTACCAACCAAAAGACTGATGAAAATGAGGATGATACGCAAGGTCTCCTCAGTAAGGGAAAATGGGAAAGACAATGTTGTTTGAAGTGTCTTAGACACTCCGGTGGGATTAACTGCCTTACATAGACCCAGATGTCTAGCAGTTGTCGACTCTCCACACAGCCAGCAAAGAAACAGGCTCATCAGAAAGAAATGAATTGTCTTCCAAAGGGATACAACTAAGAAAGCTGAAATGACTCAACCTCGGGGAGGTGCCTGTTTCCCTCTGCTGGCTATATATGTAATCTGGATGACAAGCCCAGGCACATACAACTAACTATTATACATTCAGATGAATCCTGCTACTAGTTTTACAAGTGCATTATTAATGCATCTAGTCTGCTTTTCTCAAGGGAAAATACGGTGCTATTTATGCTGTGCTAAAACAGATACTATGTTTTAGGCTGCTTATTTATTTTAAGAATCCCCTTTTGACCAACACATATGTGAATTTTAAGCCTTACAATCAAAGAAAAGTATCTTAACAGAAGATGTATCATGCACAGTAATGTGACTACTCCTATGTTACCACTCACCAGAAGGATTATCCTATGTAAATGAACCCTGCAGCCACAGACGTATTCGAAAGGCATGATTGGACTCGAAACGTCAGCTGGCACCGATAACCAACATTTCTCACGTAGTCTCCTTGACTGATTTTTCATTATTAGGATGCTCTCCGATAATAAAGCTTCACTACATTTCTTTGATGCAATCTTACTATTATCAAAGGTTTAGCAGGTAGTTGAAAGCACACAGAACTAAATCCTTCAAATAATTCTGGTCTAACGCTAGCGGGGAAAAAAAAGATTCAGATGAGCACCTTTTACTTTACTGCCCTTTCAATAAGAATCATAATGAAAAACCATGGAAATCTTTTTGTTGCTGAAATTAACAAACAACTTTGAATATACATAAAAAGAAATCTTTTGACAAAGTTCTACTTTGATTCAATTTAATGGAACTTCAAACGTGAAATGAAGAGAGTCAAGAATAAGATTGAACATATATTCTTTAGTCCTCTCCCTTATGAAATACATAGTAACTATCACTTTCCAAATACGCTAATCTTGGTTCTGTGTTCTCAAGATGAAGGAAGGCAGACTTTTTCATGTGCACATATGAAGAAACAAGTTTTCAGCATTCTGTATGTTATAACACACGGAAGAAAGAATGCCAGAGAGATTAAGAGATACACAAGAGCAGAAGTAAAAACACTGAGATAGTGTTAAGTGACAGGGAAAATTAGAGGATTTATAATACTCTCTAGTGAAATGTCAAACTTATCTTCTCAGAAGTACTAATGAATTCATTGGAGTTTTCAAAAGCCCGTGATTCCATAAGTTTCTCTATTTTAGTTTGAATTACACCTTAATTTTTGTAACTTGGAAAACCTGGTGTGCTTTCATCATGCTCTCCCCCCACGGAAGATTTTACCTGTACAACATAGCCAATTTATTCATTAAACTTTCGTAACTCTGGTGAGAGAGACTAGCATCATCGTCATCCGGTTACAGAGATCCTGATATTCATGTCTAAATCTGTGCTAGTCTGCTTCAATTCCTCTACAGGTCGTACTGCAAAACAGGCACTTCCAGGAGACAGTAATCTCACCCCAAGACACATTCTAAACCAAGCTACATGAATCGCACCCTAGAGACGCCCGTTTCCTGCCCTTGACTATAGAAGAGGCCTGGGGGAATGATTTGGTTCAGCTTCTCTTCTGAAGAATAAAAACACTTCAGTGAGACTGAAAATTTTAGCAGAAACATTTTAGGCAAAAGAAAGGAGTCAAAACTTTTGTACTTTCTGGTCTTCAGTGCACAAAAAAAATACAACATAAAGAAGCTAAGCAGGGAAAAAAATTAAGATATGAAAACAGTATGAGCAGAATGAAATAGTCTACACAGTAGACACACAGACTGATCTTAGACTTTAAAAACTTCACCTGGGAAAACATGAGACCAAGGACTAGTACACTACTTTTCAATAAGTTCTCAGGGCTTTAGCATCACCATCCTAGTTTTGCTTAATTAAAAAAAAAATATGAAAGTTAGCCCAACACTGACTAGTTGTGGACAAATGTTTTTCTCCTCGCCCTTTAACCTCAACAGAGAGGCTACCTGGAAAATCACCAGGGGACACTCAAAATCTGGAGGAAGGACAGGAATATTAAACAGAAAATCTTCTTCCTTTAAAGGCCTCTCTTCCTTTTAGACTTTACACTTTCTATCTAATTCTCACTTGAGATATACACATGACAGAGCATTGTAGAAAAATATTTTAAAAGATCACTTTTAAATATCTTTTTGAAAAGCAAGTGCAGAAATTTTTTTCATACCTGTTGGACAGTAGGGCTGTGGGTACTGCACTGAAGATGTGTAGCTGTTGTACGTTGGAACGGAAGTGGCAATGGTTTGAGACCCTTGCTGGGGTGGCAGAGAAGGGGGAACGGCCTGCAGCGTGTACGTGATCTCTTCTACAGACCTCTGGTCTCCTGGAAAGGCAGCTCCATCTGGAAAAGCTGGGGAAGCCACAGGCACTGGGAGCAACCCAGGAGAACCCTGCCAGGTTGTGGAAGCGACTGGAGTCGAATCTAAACTTGTTGGTAAAGTGACATAGTTCTGGGATGAGGTCGACACGCAGGAGTAAGCAAAGAAACTGTCTTGACCATAAGGTTGCTGAAACTGTCCTACAGTCTGCAGTCCTGCAGTGGGTACAAAACAAAGTGAAACAAGGGTTAAGGAAAGGAGTTTTCACAGGCAATGACAGGCAATATGAGGAGCCAACACTCTACAACTTCATTTGGGAAGACCACCTTTGCTCCAAGACACTTCATCCAGAAATAGACTGTATTCTTACGCCTGAACACACAGCAACTGCCACTGTGGCCGTGCCAAAGCACTGTTGTCTACGTAGCATTCAATCTCCTTAAACTTGCACTAACAAGTTACCAGTATGTAGAAATGAGCTATAAATCAAAATGCATAGTAACTTACCAAACCAGGCAAAAGCAATTTACAAAATACCATGTCTCAAATCAGACATTAAAAAAAAGGAGGAAATCATAAAGCAAGACTTCACCAAACTCCAACATTGACAGCTCACAGAGAGCCAAGGGGGAAGGGCAATGTCAAAATCCTCCAAGTGGCTTTGAAAGTACTTCACGACAAGTCATTAATTTGTCAAGAAAAAAAAATTCAAAGCCAACCTTTTTCCAGTCTGCTCAACTAGTTCAGTTTAGACTAAAATATCTCAAACTTCACCATTTTTTTTCCTTCCTGGATATTCCTTTTATTCCTCTCAGTTATTATTTTATGCAATCGTATTTGCTCTTGTACCATGACAGCTCAATTTCTAGTTGAGGTTTTGGTGACTTTGTTGAAACACTGGCAGTAATGCTGAGAACACCTATGCTCATCGCATCCCTAAAAGAGCTACTGCATCTGTGACTCCTCCGCAGTCCTGCACATAGCCATGCTAATTTTAAGTTTCAGGAGAGTTTACATCAGTAGGGTTTATCTAGAAGCCAGGCTCTCTCAAACCTGCAGTTCCTGATTCTCACTCTAAAACACTTTTTGAAAAAATAGCCTCACATTTAACCTCTTTCACTTCTCTGATGGGAACTAATTCAAGAAATGGGTAATATACAGTCATTATTCTGTAAGTTCATATTAAATCATTGAAAACCACTAAATAAATACCACCTGGTCCTGAATATTTACTGAGAGTTAATGCACAGAACTGTTTATTTCTTGTTCAGTATTTTTACCATATATAAACAGATAACAAACAGAAGTATGAGAATTCCTTTGTTTATATTTTACCTTTAGATAGGGAAATTGAGTTTATCTAGTTTTAACACATGAACGAGACACCACAGGGTGCCAAGTTACAAAGCACCAGTTGCTTTACAGGAATTGTTCCTGGATGTTTAACACGGAGTTGCATGTTGCAAGACAACTGGAACAGACTGAAGATTTGTAAATGAAAATATCTTTTATCTATCAAATTACCTCACGTTTACAGCAAAGACATGCCCCTAAATAGTTAGTACAGAGCGCACAATAAACTGTAAGCCTGTCAGAACTCGACTGCACATAAAACCCAGTGTTCTCCTTGTTCTTTCCTTCTAGAAACTGAGACTCCTAGAGCAGAAGCTCTCTAAAACTGCACCCATAAAGAGGCCAAAAAATTTAAAGTTTGTATCTTTCTTAGCATTTACTCTGACAATGGCCTGCATCCCATCAGTCAGACCAGATCTCATTTCTGTAATGACTCATGTTAGTCTTAACAATGTTAACACCAAATCTTTAATTTAAATGCTTCCTAGCCTCGATACCAAAATAAGTTCCTTCCCTTCTCAAATGCTTCATTTTGTTTCCTTGGCATTACAGGTGTAGTTCCACACGCATCATAGAAAACACCACCTGAATTAGTTGACAATTCCTACTCTGAAATAGTAACCAACAGGAAGCATCATTTTACCCTGCTCTGTTCTGGTGCTGCGGGAAGCAGCACCACAAACTGATTCTCCCCTTCTCCGGGTCACACGCTGCTGCCACTTCTCCGCACCCAGCCTAACAGCTCTGCCACCCCCGTGCTGCGGCACCCTGACCCAAGAGCCAGCCACAAACAGGCCGCTCAAGTCTTGTCCCCGGCTCACTGTGCTGAGCCAACACAGGTGCTGCAAGGAAGGTGATGGTTAACACGTGACAGAGGGCATGGGAAGCAGGACTGCTCTTCTGGCAGCAGCCCACGGTTCCACCAGACCAAGAGCACCGCAAAACAAGATACTCTCATCTTCCCTACATAGCATCAACTACAACGCTCTCAAGCTTACATGGAACTTGTGGAATAGTCCTCTGAGAGCTCAGACTTGTCTTGGAAAACTCAGCTCCTCTCAAGGAGAGTTAGAAAGAAAGAAAACATGTTGTGGGGCTTTTCAGCATTGTTTTCTATGTAGCTCTCACCTACTGATTCAATGCTCTTTAAAAACTATCATCAAGCTTGTAATTCTTTTTCTGGAGACAACTGATGGAAATCCTACTACCAAGCCTTTTCTCCTTTGCGCAAAACTAGCAGGATGCTCAGGTCATCACTTCACATGACCCATCGTTCCACACGGATTTAATGAGAGCTTGTTAATAACCGCTACACACCAGCAAGGAGTAATGTTCACCTGGCAGAGCTGTGCCAGCTCCCCAGAGATCAGGCGAGGGTGTTGGGGGCTGTATTGCCATCTATGGGCAGCGCAACGGCCAGCCGGGGCAGAACAACGGCCAGCCGGGGCAGAACAACGGCCAGCCGGGGCAGACCAATGGCCAGCAGGGGCAGACCAACGGCCAGCCGGGGCAGGAAAAGCGCCCGCCGGGGGAGA